CTGTGAGAAATACACTTCTGTCGTTTAAGCCCCCTGGCTATGGTACTTTGTCATAGAACCCAAGCTGATGAAGACATGGCTCCTTAGTGGGAGGTGTGGAAGCCTGTCTTTAGTGGTCTGACAACCCTGTGAGGTCAGCTCTGTAATGATGCCCAGTTAGCAGATGGGAAAACTAAGGCCTAAAGGGATTAATTAACTCAAGTCCTGGAGCTGAGAAGAGGTGGTGCCAAGGTTCAAAGCCTGGTTGCCTGCTCAAAGTGTGTGCTCTTGACCACAGCTCGGTGCCATGCACGAGAGGCACGTGGTAGGGAAGGGGCAGGAACCATCAGTGAGGAGCTGCACTACAAAAGGGAATGGAACATTGTCCCTGCCTTTGGGGAGTGTCTGGTCCAACGACAGAGACCGGAGACCCACAAGAATCACACCCTAGGGACGAATGCAGTACTGGAGGGAGATCTGTGGGGGGCTCTGAGAAGATGGGGATGCCAACCACATAAGGAAGGCTTCAGAGCAAAGCTGATGTAGTAGATGTGCTATAAATGCCATCTTTTTTTTTTTTTTTAAGATTTTATTTATTTATTTGGCAGAGAGAGAGAGCAGGAGTACAAGCAGGTGGAATGGCAGGCAGAGGGGGAGGGAGAAGCAGGCTTCCCGCTGAGCAGGGAGCCTGATGTGGGGCTCGATCCCAGAGCCCTGGGATCATGACCTGAGTTGAAGGCAGATGCTTAACGACTGAGCCACCCAGGCGTCCCTATAAATGCCATCTTAACACAAGGAAAGGCAAGTGCAAGAGGACTCACAGGCCACTGAACATGAAGCATTACGAGAAAGAAGAGTGCCCAGGGAAAAGGGGAAAACAAAAAGCCAGAGGTCTCCACTGATAGAAAGTTGGCTGTCTGGAGACTGCTGATCTCAAGAAGCAGGAAAATTGGCCCAAGTGAAAGGACTAGAAACTGCTCCCTTGGTTGGTGGCAGAAAAGAAAGGCAAGGGTCCACAGAGCATTCAGAATCCTCCTGTATGAGGGATTCCTGCCTTTGCTTCCCAAGTAGGAGACCACACTCCAGGAGAGCCAGGGCCCATTCGGGCAGCCATCTGGCTCTGACTTTCCCCTCTCCTCCACTGTACCCCAGAGAACGAGGGTAGAGAGCGGCCAGAATGTGTGTGGAGGACTTAGACTCCTGACCTCAGCTTTGCCTTGACATTGTTCGACCTTGGCCAGGTTGCTCCTTGCCTCCTCTGGCTGAAGATCAGGGAGCCCTCGACCTGCTTTCTCCTGGGCACAGTGAACCAGATGGGCGTTGAGGTCCTCGTGCAGAGAGCAGGGCAGGGGGACCAGGGACTTGGACCCCATCACACAGCAAAGGGGAGAAGAGGGGTTGGTGGAGCTGTGAATTTGCTCCAGAAGGGGAGACAGCCCACAGCATTTCAGCCACAGGCCCGAAGTGGGGGAGAGGATTCCACCAGGCAGCAGGGGAACTCTCCAGTTGCTGGAAAATTGAGCCATACTCCTGTCTCCATGTTCTCACCTCCGGACTTGAGGAGGAGAATTGATTTGGGGCGCTGCAGGCACACATCCCCTCCAGACCCTGGTGAACGGAGGATCCACGTCCGCTGTGCTGCTAGGGACTTTTTTTTCTGAACACATCAGCTGACTCTGGCTTCAGAGCTCCTGCCACAGTTTCCATTCCCGCTTTGTGGACTGACTCCCTGCTCTCTCTCCTCATCTTCCACTCTGCTGAAGTTGTACAGCAGCCTGAAAATGCTGATGGCTTAACTGGTTTAATTTTTTTCCCCAGCAGCCCTGAGGGGTTTTAACTCTTTCCTCCTGCAGAAACCTTGCTTTTGGAGTTGAATGTTTAAACTCTCACTGGGAGACTCATAAATATTCGGAGTCACTCTCTCCCTCTCTGTTTGATTAGGAAATGAGCCTTTAACTCAATGTAATCCCCAAGCCATTAACAAAAAAGCCCTCAACAGCTCCACTATTAGAATTTCACTCTTAACCCGCTGAGGATTGAATTAGATTAACATAACTACCCACAATCTGAGTTTATTTTCTGTGCCAGATAGAAATGTGTTTTTCAGGGATGGCGAGAAGGGGGAGGAAAGGGAGCAGGGAGGGAGGGAGAGAGAGAGAGAGAACAAGCAGGAGGGTAATGAAATGTAAAAATAGAGATAAGAAAAAGATGGACAGATACACTGTAGAAATGAAGGGATGGTGAGAAAGAGCGGTGCGTGGTCTTTGGCTTAAAAATCCTGCCAGCAGCCATCTTTTACTTACGGGATATTTGGAGAGGCCTCAGCTATGTGAAATTGTTTGAATTAGGGGAGCGCTTTCCAGGTATTTGCGATTCCTTCTTCCTGGAGATTGATGGTCCTGCACCTGAGCCTGCTGTATTCCAAAGCACCTGCTCATTGGCCCCACTGTCCCCAGTTTGGGAGAGGAGGTCGGGCTGGGTTTCTATGTGCTCAAGGCGGGGGAGGGGACACATAAAACAACAGTGCGTGCACAAAGGCGACTGCGCGTTTACATCCAGAGAAATAAAACAACGACAAAGATGGAATGGGTTAGATTTTGCAGACATGAAGTCACAGACAGCCCCGTGACCAATTGCATTTAAGAAATCAGTGTGTAAAAATGAGTTTGACGGGAGGTCCGTCCACATAAAATTAATCGTTATTGAAGCAGAAACTAAGTAATCAGAGGCTGCCTTAGGCAAATGCACTGAAGTTTTACCCAACTGCATCTCCAGAACTAAGCCCAAAGGGAAAAGCCATATCCTGAACTTGAGGGTGAAAGCTAGGCCCTCCATCACACTGCCAAACAAAGCCTCCATCCCCCCTAAAGGCATCCACAAGTAGCCAAAGGAAGGAGTGGTTCTTGCCTAAATGTTCCAACAAACATTCTCCTCTCCACCGCTCCTGCTAATGAGAACAGAGCACTTGTTCAGAAATGCAGGACTCTCCTACTGCATGTAATCCTGGGCCAGCAGGGTCGGGCTGCACGTTGAGGAGGGAGGGGATGGTTTGCTCTTGCATTAAAAGATTAAAAAATGTCACACTTTCTCTAAAAAGCCTTTGCGATCTGAGAGTCCTCGGCTAGAAGTTCAGTTGTGCAAACAGCTGACTGCTGTGATCTCTGAATGCAAGGTCTCAATCGCTTGATTGACTTGAAGCCTTAATTAACAATCACCCGCCAAATCTCACTTCGGCATTATTGTGGGGAACCTCAGCAGGATATGTTTATCAAAATGGAGGCCTTGGAATACAGAAAAGTCATCATGCTACACGTAGAGTATGTTCAACTCCTGTTTATTTTTTTCTTGATTCCTGGGCTTTACCTTCCACACTAAGCTTTAAATAGTGACAAGCCCCCTCCCCCCATCTTAAGCCAAACTCCTTATTCTCAATTTTCCCACCAGTACATGTGGTCTTACTACCTGAACACGTGACATTGTCCTTCTAAATTTCTGATTCCTTCCTGATCCCCATTTCCCCCTTCAAAATAATAAATGAATGGATTACAGACAGTAATAACCCTAAATAAAACACAGAGGAGAGTAAAGAACCAAAAGAAGAAGTTTCCAAAAGGTCCGAAGTAAAACGAGATCAAATTGGCTCTCTAAACATATGTGTGTTCATATTATTTAACTTTCACCAAGTTAAATTTGTTTTGTTTTTAATCAAAAATAATCCAGACCCATCTGTCTTGTTTAATCTTTTAAAGTGTTGGAAAGATTATTTTTGCTGTTGTTGTTGGGGTATTGTTCTCCCAAACAAATCGAGAAGTAGTCCTTAGCAATATAGTATATAGGTAACCACTATATTAATAAGTAGAAACCCAGGCATTATCAGACCACTCATTTTAAAGGTTGAATATCATATACATTAAACGTCATCACATTTTTTGCCCCCAATTTACGGCTACTATTCCTTTGTAAACAATATATAGCAAACCTCCCCACGTGCAGGATTTTTAGGTAATACTCTGCATTATCCAAAAGCTAAAGTCCCAAATCTTCCACAGGAAGCTTGTGGTGTGTGGGCCCTGGGGACACCCGACAGCCTCTGGGGACTGTCACCTCTGGGAGCCACTGGTGTGCTCAGAGAGCTTGCACCCCGATTGCCTGAAACCAGCAGCGCTTTGACAAGCATCGTATTAAGTTTCTCCCTTTCAGGGAAGGATGCGGAGCACCCCGCACCAGCAGCCCGCCACGCACCTGGCTTCAGTCTTTTCGGAGACGCTTCCTCCCCGCCCCCACGAAGTTCCCCTTTCAGGATCAAGAAAATACACCAAATGTGTGAGCCAACAAAAGCCTGTAAGGCAAGACAAATCATGAGCTCTCCTCTGGACTCCTCCAAGCAAACTCACTCCGTGGAGCAAAAAAGAAAAAAAAGAAAGAAGAAAGAAAGAAAGGTAAAAGTCCTTTTCCTTGGAGGTGCTCTAGAAAAGCTGGTCACTGGGACTGCTCTGAGTCCCCCTGAACCTGCCGGGAGCCCCCCATCATCACCTGCCCTGGGTGACCTGGGTTTTCCCTCCGTAACCTTCCCGGCTCACCCAACAGCCTGGAGCTGCCAGCAAATAAAAGTTTTCACGCCGGGAGACATAACCACCCCGCGGAGCCGCATGTAAACTTTCCCTTGCCCTTCTGATTTACTTACTTTTTCTCGGCGAAAACAAATAAAAATAAAAGGGCACCTAGGGATTCCGAATGCGTTTGGGTAGCAGTCCCACCCAGCCATTCCCAGTCCCTCTGACCTTCCCGTGACAGTCCGAGAAAGGCAACAGTTCCCGCCCCACCCCCTCCAGCCACGCAGAGATGCTTTCCAGCGCCGAAAACCAGAATGAAAGAACAGGCACGGGGAGATATTTTTATCCATAAAAAGAGAGGGAGAGGGAGAGGGAGAAGGAGCGAGAGAAGGGGGCTGTGTAGGGAAAAGGACAGGACGGTGCGGGGCAGCGCTGGGGCGGAGAGAAGGGAGAAGTTGCGGTACTTACATGCTTGGGGCCGGCCGAGGACAGGGGCTGGCGGGGGACAGGCTGCCCCTCAGGTGTTTCCACTTGCTGATGACTCGGTGTTCAGCTCCTCCGGCACCAGCTGACAGTCCCCTGTCTGTGTCTCTTTGTGACTAAGGACACAGTACTCCCAACCTATAAATAGATCCCGACTCCGTGATTGATATAACAGGCAGCTGACAAAAAAAAAAAAAAAAAAAAAATCCCACAACCATAACCAGGTCTTAAACAAAACAGCAAAAAGCTCTGGGCGTTCAGCTCCGCCGAGCCCCATGCAGACTCCGCAGCCACTGAAGGGCACAGGAAAGCGGGGAAGGAAAATATACAGTAAAAGGGAGGCGGAAATGGGGGAGGACACCCAACGGGGAAAGTGTGAAAGTTACTTCTCTGGGGGGTGGAGCAGTCCTTTGGGGTCCCGGGGGAGCTGAGGGATGATGGACGGCAGGGAGAGCAAGGGGGGGAGCCGGGTGGCACACGGGGAAGGAGAGGCCCCATCCTGAGCCCGAGGCCCTGTCAGGGCCCGAGTCAAAGTCCTGACTTGGGAGCTTTCGTCAGTGCAAGTGCTTTCCATGAAAGTTTCCTTCCTGCGGCCAGATCAGGAGGAAGGGAGGGAACAGATAGAGTTTTCCTAGCTCAGGGGCCAGACTGGCTTCTTGGGGGACCTGCAGTAGGCCCCCCGGGGGGTGAGGGACGATGTGCAGGTGAGGGGCTGGGACAGAGTCAGGAGTCGCTTGTGCCTGGTGGGCAGGGCCCAGTGGGCCAAGTCGCAGCACATAATGGGTTTTTAAAAGGCCAAGGAACGACATTCCTGACAGAAGAATTGCCCAAGGTTGAAAGGCCTTGGGGGGCATTGGTGTCTGCTTTTTCCAGAAAGATTTCCTAGGAGAACACATTGAAAAAAGTTTCTCCTTGGGGAAATGAGCCCCACTCTTTGAAATACGGAAGGGTCTCTTAAGAAACAAAGTTCTGTCAGAGTCCTGTAAAGGTGGGGTGGCCTCTCAGGGGCAGGCCAGCCCACCTCTGGGAGCCGGGGCCACGGGGCAAAGTTTCCAGAAGACAGAGTCATGGTGACAGAAGTGGGGGCTGTCCAACAATGAACCAGGTGAGCTCCCGATCACCCGACGGACTTCCATCCTGCCACGTGTAGACCCACTAGCTTTGGTCACACGAGGGTCATCTGTCTGGATGATCTGCTTACTCGGGCACACTGATGTAGGTGAAATCTCAGGTGAGGTTCCCCCTTCTAGAGGGGTCATGGGACAAGCCCTTTGCTGGTGTGGTGAGGAATAGACATTTCCTGATCCCCATTTTTTGGAAAATAAAGTTGAATTTCCTCTTAATGTCAGATCTGATCCTTGATCCTCTCCAAGTTAACAGAAACTGAGGACGGGCAGTAGCCAAGCTGTTGAAGTCAAAGCCTATTTAATACGTAGGACCTCAAACATGCCCATGAGGGGCCTGCCATTGGAAGACAAGCTCCAAGGGAAAAGACCATGTGTTTGTCTTATTCACCGTTAGTCCCCAAGGGCTGCCATGGTGCCTGACACATAGTAAGGCCTTCCTGAGTACGAACTGACTGACTTATTGAATGACTGACTGACTGACTGACTGAATGAATGAATGAATGAGTGCATGAATGTGTGATGCCTAAGACACCCACTTGAGTACTTTGGACTAGGACACTCACTCCTAGCATGTCTGTTTTATGACGGTATCCCTAGGAAGGTAGAGAACTGGGGCTGGGGCTTCGGGTTCCGGAGGAATCCCAGGCCATGACTGGGGTGGCAACTGCTTCAGTGCACAGTCACCACCAGGCTCCTTGTTAGGGGAAAACCTTTCACTTCTGAGGTGAACTGGGGACTTCCCTCCATTATTTGCTTTCTCCTCAAATTCTCCAGCTGACCCTCCCTGACTTCTGGCAGAAACCACACATGGCTGTGGCCTCTCCTAGAGGCGCGGCGTCTAGTCTGCCGCGAGCCGTCAGCGAATGGGTTGAATCAAGCCACTTCTCCTGGAAGGCACCCTCCTTAGAAAGCGAGGTGGAGCCTCAGTGTTGACTGTTTCCCTCCAGGCCGATCTCTGAATTACTGCAGGGGTTCAGTCACAATTCTTTCAACTGAACGAAGCCTTGGTGTCTGCTCCCTGGAAGTGGCCCTGGGAGTCTGCGGGGGACCAGCTGATAGCCAGTGCGCATCCCTCGGATCACACAGGCCTCCCTTGAAATGCTGGTCATCATCTTGGGAGAACACAGCCCTTTGTTTTCGGGAGCTTCCAGGGCCAGACCCCCTGGGCCACTGGGAGCACGGGGGTACATAGGCACATTTCCCTGGCAGTTAAAGCACAGACTTCGGACCGGGACTCCCTGGGTTGGAATCCTGCCCCTTCCACTGATTATTAGGAAACGAGTAAAATCCCTTCACTTCTCTATGCTGCACTTTGCCCAGTTACAATGTGGAGATTCTAAGGGTCTACCTCCTAAGATTGTCAGGAGGATAAAATGACTCCATTTTGTAAAGCAATGCTCAGAACAGTGCCTGGCACTGGAGAGTTCTAATAAATGCTCCAGGTAGCATCACCAGCCCCCGTGCGTGCCCCTACACTCATTCCGAGGTGTGCCACCCCCTCCCCCACCACCGCCCACCTTAGCCACATTACTGGAGCTTGCTTTGGTTCTTCCCCCAAAGCTAGAGCCTCCTGGCCTTAAGATTCGATGACTCTTTGTGAGCACCCACTCTGGGCCAGGCGCTTCACACGGTTTCCTAGTTACAGCAGTACCGTCCACCCATGGGGAGGATTCTCATTCCTCTGTGTTAGTTTGCTAGGACTGCCATAACTAAGTACCAAGAACTGGGTGGCTGAGAACAACAGAAGTTTACTTTCTCTCACTTCCAGAAGCTAGAAGCCCAAGACGTGGGCAGGGTTCGTTCCATCTGAGGGAATGAGGGAGACTCTGTTCCAGGCTGCTCTCCTAGTTTTGGGTGAGTTTTCTCCTAGTTTCGGCTTATGGGGGCGTCACCCCAATCTGTGCCCTTCAACTTTACGTGGCATTCGCCCTGTGTGTATCTTTGTGTCCACATTTCAGTCTTACTGGATTAGGGCTGATACCCTAATGTCCTCTTTTTAAGTTGATCATCTGCAAAGACCCTATTTCCAAGTAAGTTCACATTCACAGGCACTGGGGGTTAGGATTTTGATATCTTTTGGTGGGGGGACGGGTACACAAGTCACCCATGACACTCCTTCTACAGAGGAGGCAACGGAAAGTTCAGGAGGTCTCGCACTCCGTCTGAGACACAGCTGAGTGAGTGTCGCACGGGAAAGAAGGCCTGGGTAGGTGAAGCCCTGACAGTCCCCTCCCTGCCATAGGGACACTGGCTCCTGCGCAGATGTGGTACCACCCGCCTCCACTGGGCTTGTGGCAGTCATTAGTTCCGCATAGCAAGGTGACTTTACACTGTTTACAAGGGCCCCTGAAGGTGTAGCCGTCCCTGCCCCCACCAGCTTATCAACGCATTTACCTTTCAGAGTTCCCTACCAGACTGCAACCAGGAGGGGTGGGCAGGGACCCGCACACAGCCCAGGAAGGGCCTGCATTCGTTTTATCTGGAAAGAAGAATCTATCTGCTTGGGCAGAGAACGAAACACAACACATCGGTGCCGCTAGGCCATTAGTCATCTCCTGCCAGGACTCGGGAGACCTGAGAGTGGCCATCGTGGGCTCTGGCTCCACACACAAGGAGCAGCTGGAGTCAGGGACACCCCTGGCTCTTCCCTCTGGAGGGCATTCTATAGGGATTGGGGAGGGGGGGTAACACAGCTCAAAGGTGGTGACATCTCGCTTGGGAAGAGGAAGTGGGAGACATAGCCCAACCCCATCCTAGGTGGTTGGGCCCAAAGGCAGGTGTCCCCACTGAAGCAAACACCACCCTCCCCCCAACCAGGCACGCACTGGGACTGCCAGCTCCCGCAGAGTGACAAATGCGCAACGCACCCCTACTCGCACCCCCACGGGGGGAGGAGACTATACTCTTCTTAGACGAAGGAAGGGTGCCAGAACAGGGGAATAACAGGAGGCCTCAGGTGGGGCCAAGTCAACAAATCAAAAGCCCCAGACCGCCAAGCCTGATTTCTTCCATCCCTTTACCCCAGAGACCCCACCTACTGCTCAACCAGCCTACACAGGGCCTCATAAACCAACTGTCCCTACTAGCTGCACCCCTAGTTCTCCTGCCTGGCCGCTCTCTCACCTACTTTCTACTCATTCTCCATGGTCCAGCTTGAGCGTGATGCCCTTCCCCTGTGTTCCCGGCCCACAGCGGCCCTGACTGCAGGGCTCCCCTGCTGCCCACAGAACAGCTCATCTGAGCCACCTACAATGTCCCCTTTTGCCTCGAGTCGTGTGCCCACTTCTCTTGCATGTTTGCCTCATGCCACAACGAGGCAGTCACAATGGAGGTAAGTCCCATTGTACTGAGCACCCACCATGTGCCGGAGTTTCTGTAAGGTCCCTGATCTACATTGCCTTATTTAATCCTTACAACTACCCTCACGGCCAAGGATTCTTCTTCCCCGTTCATCATCCAGGAAGCCGGCAGTCAGAGAGGCGAAATGACTTGCCCAAGACTGGGCAGTGGGATAGCAGTGGAGTCAGGATTTGGACCCACATCTGCCTGAGTTGAAAGGCTGTGCTCTTACTCGCTATTTAACCATCTCTTCTCTGACACCACCCCCAACCCTCATGGCTCTCTAGGTTTCATGCCATAAAACCCAATGCCTTGCTCTAGCTTATATTTAAGAAATCTGCTCTAGCCTATATTCCTGGTCACCCCCTCACCATTCCCTGCCATGTGGAGCCTTTTCCTTGGCAACACTGCAATCTCTTTCATATCCCTGCCACACCATTTGGACATCATGACCCAATTCCATTGTCATCTGCCCCAAAGCCTTTCCCTACTTCGGCCACACCTTCCCCCGTGCTCTTCAGGACACTCTGCAATGGCACCTGCCACACAGTACTATGAATGTTGGCTCACATAGCAGTCTCTATCCCTGAGATGTTGCTCCTGGAGGATGAGGACGGGCTTTTTTCATGTTTTTGTGACCCTCCATCCCACTAC